GAAACCATGTCTGATTTTTCACACACGAGTCGGCGGTCTTGCAAGAGAAACCGCAAGATGTCAATAGACGTCTTAAGCTTGAATCCTAGGCCTGTACCTTTTCTTAAGCTCCAGATTGAGCGCAGAGGTCGTGATATCACTTCTCATATCGTAGGAAGTTAAATTAAAACTCATTAAAACTGCAACAAGAAATGTCACATTCGTTAGCAATTATATTGGCATTGTTTCACATCATATTAATTGTTGCTTTTGATAATAGCTCTTTGGCACAAAAAATCAACATCAGCTTCTGAAGCTAATAATGGCACCAGAGATTGCGAGATAATTAAAAATCAAATTCTTGTAGAAAGTTATTATAATCGGAACTTCTTGCAAGGTATATTCTGTCAGCTCTGAAACAATGAAACTTAAAAATTTTGGCTGAATTTTTCGATAGCATCGTATAAATATGGCCCCATATTATTCAAGTTTTGATCTCATCAGACTGTAAAATAAAGATCTCAATGTACGGACATTGTCAAAGTTCCTACACTTGTTACAAAGCCATGTCTTTTTTAATGCACTGGAAATTATTTGACTAATATGATCATTAAAAATGAGTCGTTAGTCAAAGTAGTCACCTAAATCTCTCACAGTCTCACAACGCTCCAATACGAAATCCTCCATTTTGTAGTTGTATGTTGTAAGTTGGATTAGACTTTCTAAAAAAAGTGATTACCTTGAATTTGGAAATATTTAGTAAAACGTTATATTCACACCATCTTAGTAATATATTAATTTGTTCTTGTTCTCTATTGAGGAAATAGTAGAGAAAAATTTTTAATCGTCAGCAAACATCAACTCAAGACATTTCAAGAGTCGTGTCAATCATTGACGAAAAGAATGAACAGTAGCGGTCCTAAGTTAGATCCTTGTGGAACACCGCAGGTATAAATGCAAAAACACGCGAATAGTATTTCTTGTAAGGGACATTGAGTTGTATTCACAAAACAAAGGATATCCTTGTACTTGCAAATTTTGAAGGAAATCCTCCAGATGGTATTTATAATAATTTCAGGTAAATGCTTTTGCTTTTTGAGTATAAGCATATCCTTCAAAACAGTGACATAAGTAAAAGGATATTCATAATCTTCTCCTTATACGTGGCATTTATTTATTTATTTGTTTATTTATTTATTCCCAACAGGTAACACCCAATTACAGAAAAAATACAAGAAAAAGTTACACAATTACCAACAGCGGTAACGCCAAACACAAAAAAAAAACTTAAAAAAAGAAAAAACTCTCATTGACAAAGGTACCAGTCTCTGTAGCACTTCACAACAAAGTTCTCACTATCAAAAAATAATTCACAGGAACTGCAAACAGAATTGAAACATGTACAAATCATATTTACCGGAGATCTAGACAATAAATTAGTATTACCAGTAACTGGATAGAAAGTAATTTGAGCACGATTTCCCAACCTAGGCACACGAAAATTAAGCTTACTTAATATGAATGAACAGTCAACATGATTGTGTATGATTTTGTACAAAATATGTAGAGCTGATATGCCGCGTCTAAGATGCAATGACTCTATATCAAAAATGTTTAATAAAATAGAATGGTCGAAACCTCTTTCAGGATAATTGCCATAACATTTGTAATACAAATACTTTAAAGCCTTACGCTGCACATATTCAATACTAACCCTTAAATTGTTATAGATTGGAGACCAAATTAATGAAGCGTATTCCAGCTTACTTCTAATAAATGTAAAACATAAAAGCTTTAGAGTTGATATGTTTGAAAACCCTGACCAGTTCCTTACAAAAAAGCCTAGCATCTTAAACGCTGAATTCACCATTTGAGTGATGTGATCCTTGAATGTCAGCTTGGCATCGAATCCACACCCAAATCTTTGAACGTTTCTGTTTTTTCGAGTAAGTGATCATTCATATTATAATCATAATGTATTACATTTTTGGTTCCTACTAAAAGACAGAACTTTACACTCTGATACATTAATCGTAAGAGAGTTTCTGGAACACCAAGAATGCACCAAGTTCAAGGTGTTTTGAAAAGAGATACAGTCGTGATAGCTCTGAATAGTAGTATGAATTTTTAAGTCATCAGCATAAAGTAAATGCATACTAGGCAATTCCAGCGACAGATCATTGATAAACAACACAAAAATCAAAGGACCCAAATTGGATCCTTGGGTCACTCCAGATGTTGCTGTATAAGAATTAGATTTAACACCACCAAACTCAATGTACAGATTTCTATTAAATAAAGATGATCTGATCAACTTCAATCAAGATTTAGACAACCCAATCATTTCAAGCTTAGAAAGAAGCAAGTAATGATCTATCTGATCAAAGGCCTTTTGAATGTCCGTATAAATGACATCCAACTGACCCTGGTCATCTAATACCTCAGTGATAGTTTGAGTCAGGCATGTCAGATTTGTGACTGTTGATTTGCCAGCAACTAAACCATGCTGGTTAGGAGATAAAGTACATTTGACAGAGTTGAAAATGATATTATAAATAATAATCTCAAAAATCTTACCAAAACTGCAAAGTATCGCAATCTGCCTATAGTTACAAATATTACTTCTATCGCCACTTTTAATGACATGACATACCTTGGTCATTTTCCAGATACTAGGGTAAGAGCATATTGTAGATCATGCAAAGCGGTTTTGCCGATACATGAATACAATCCTTTATTAAAAAACTAGGCACACCATCATAGCCTGAAGTCATTTTATTCTTTAACTTTCTGGAAGCATGAATTTTATTCGCTTCACTTACAGTGTTCAGAGATATATTCATACTATGTTAGTTAGATTTGAAGTCATGAACTCAGAATTAGAAGAATCAGAATTTATAAACACAGTTGAAAAAAAATTTGCAAAAACATCGACTATGTCCTGTGATGAGGTACAAGTGTTTTCCTTAAACGTCATGTTCCCTGGAATTCTAGAGTTTTTCTTTTTTGCATTTACAAATGACCAAAAATTAGTGGGATCCTTATTGATCCTATCCTCAGCATTTTTAATGTAAGCTGAATAGGAGACTATAATTTGATTTTTAATCATAGCTCGAAGTTCTTTGAATTTTAAATAACAGTGGCTTGAATGGGTTGCTTTGTACTTATTCCTGAACCTATCCTTTTCTCTTGTATTTGAAATAATTTCCTTTGTAAACCAAGGAGGATATGAACGAGGATTCATTTTATATTTAGGAACGTTGTTCTCGAAAATTTTTCTTATAATTGAATAAAAATAATCACATGCTTCATTTACATCATTAATTTCACGAATTGGAGACCAGTCCGCAATTCGGCAAAGGAAGCTTATCCTTCAAAAATTCTGAGTGTGGTCAGTAGCAGACTCAACTTCGTAACGAAAGGTGGTCAAACGATGATGGCGGAAATTGTGGATGTTAGGGATGTTAAAACGTACAAACTTCATTTACCTTCAATTGGTTGTGATTTCAAAAATTTATATCTGTTCGACGAAGCAAATGATTATGACTCCCTTCAGAAATCCTACTCCAGGTGCAGAAATAAATTATAACAAGTTTTTAAAACAAGAAAGAGTTATAATTGAACGCTGTTTCGGCCAACTGAAAAGCCGGTTTCCTATCCTACAGTATGTTTGCCGCGTAAAGTTGGAAAATGTGCGGAAAATAATTATTGCATGTATTGTACTCCATAATGTTGTGAAGAGCTTGGGCGATCCTGACTTTGAGTTAGTTGAACAAGACCCAGATGAGGATGAAGGAAATCATGAGAATGACGAACTTCCTCTCCGCCAACTAGGTCAACAAATAAGAAGAAACTTGAGTATTATAATAAATAGTTTTACTTATTAAAGTGTATTTATAAGTTATAATAAGTTTTATTTTCGTGAACAGCATAAGTTACAGGTGGCTTCTGACGCTGCATCATTTCTAATTTCGTTTTATAATACTCTTGTTATAAAATACTTGTTTAGTACTGCTGTAATAGCACTAGACGTTGCAGTTCTTTTGTAGTTAACCCTTTGGTTTCCTCAGTTTCGTATTTTTCTTCTGCTAATTTTATTTTTGGTGGCAATGTCTTCTGAATTCCTGGCGCTGTAATACTGTTCACGTCATTCTTGAATGGCACATCTAGCTGTCCCAATTGTAGGATTATAATCACCTTCCATAGCTTCCAGCAACTTTCTTTCCCAATCTGACAATGTAATTGCTTCATTACCAGATTTTTTTTAGATATGTTTTTTTCAATCTTGATTTCATGTTGTAGATTTTTTTTAATATGCCTTTAGTTTCTAATGGTTTACCGAATGTTGATTCGTATTTTTTCAACATCTTCTTCAAGGCATCGTCCTTTCTCATTTTTATTTTTGGAACTTGTGACTTTTGCAAAATAATGGGAGCAATGTCAATAATATCTGCTATGAACTGCAGGTCGTTGCCATTATTTTCTATAGTTTCCTCATCACTTGAGGATGACATGCTTATTAATTTGATGAAAAACTGTATCCAGTAAAAATATGGAACGGTCTGTGTAAGCTCTGGAGTACAACTGTCAGTGATGCTGAGTGAACGAACTCCCACGTCAACTACAAGCTGGAACGAGTCAGGACATGTCGCTCAAGATACAAATACCAGTCAACCTTTTACTTCTTCTTGGAGGATATCCTCGCGAGTATAAGGTAATCATTATGAATATGAAAACAAGGATATTCTTATACTTCTACCTTTTTCTCCGAAGCAAGACCTTATACTTTTACCTTACGCTTCCGAGGATATGCTTCTCTTTTATGAATACGGCTCATATTGTGTTTCCTTTCAAAATCGCAATAAAAGAGCTATTAAAACCGAAGTACTCGTATCGTAGCTTACTAAATAATACATATTGTGAATGATAAAGAGCAAATGCCGCACTTATTGCTCTGAACAGTGACAAACTGACGATTCACTAAATCCTTTATGAGAGTGCCTCTGGGTAAGTAGAGCATTTCTTTGACACAAAATTACTGTTCCAGGTGCGTTCCTGATTCCATTCGCAGTGATGCTGATCCTGGAAGGCATTCCGCTTTTTCTGATCGAACTGGGAATCGGTCAGAAGATGCGCCTTGGCTCGTTGGGTGTGTGGAACACCATCCACCCATGGCTGGGAGGCATCGGAATTTCGTCCACCATCGTCACTTTTTTCGTCGCGCTCTACTACAACGTTATCATCACGTGGTGCTTCTATTACTTCTTCAACAGCTTTCAGGTGAGCAAATTTCATTTAGTAAAAATATGCATTATATTACTTGGAGTCTATCTACTAAGATATGAAATGCTGTGGCATTACTATGATTGTAAAAAAGATTTGCAGAATAGACACTATCAATGCTAACTGGAGAAAATTCATTTTGAAAACACATAGGAGATCTTTGGTGAAGTATACAGCGTAAAGCGTGTTCAGAGAATGATCATAGTAAGGCGAAGTTTGGCCATGGCTAGTCTACCACATAACCATAGGAAGTAAAAGAGAAGTAAAAAGGGGCAAATATAGAATATGAGCTTAAAGAAAGGATAAAAACAATAGTCCGGACCTTATAAACAAGCTATCATTCGGCAAACTGAATTTATCACTCAATGTGCTGAGCCTAAAAAGTGCAACTTGACTTTCTTCTTGAAGCTCTGCAAACTTAAGGTCTCATAATTAGCTGGTAAAGAATTATATAACTTGACCGCATTATTTAGGAAAACGACCTTTCAAAAACCACAGTTTTAGCATTAACATAAATGGAATATTACTATCATTGATTAATAAAGATACTTAATTTGTGACATTGTAATTTGAATATTTAGGACAGTATGGTATCGCAGTACATTTTGATAAATTGCGGAGTACATCTTGCAATTCTTTATTACGTTATCAAGATCTAGGTTAGTCTTATACGATGCTTCATGTTATTTGGATTCATTGAAACAAAATTTTAATTGTGTATCGTCAGCATACATTTGAATGTAACAATATTCTACACACTTATACAGATCAAACGTGTATACTACGAATAAATGAGGTCTCAGTACAGAACCCTGAGGAATCTCTGATGGAATATACTGTGCATCAGAAGGTCTAGATGTGTTCACTTTTTGGGTCCGATGAGTTAGGTAGGATCTGCAGAAATTTAAAGAAACTTCTGACATGCCGTAATACTTTAGCTTACTCACAAGAGTCTCATGATTGACCGTATCGAAAGCCTCTAAAAAATCAAGCATGACCAACAGCGTGCTGGATTTATCGTCAAGTGAAGTGCCTCATCTGCAAGGTGGATGCAGTATTCATACTATGACCTCCACGAAAACCAGATTGGTGTACTGGAAACAAATTATTATTTAGAAAATACTCAACGAGCATGTTCGGATGGATTATTATTTTTGGCCAAAGGTGTGCCTGTTCCCGCCTTCCAGTTGAATGGGAAAACGCCTCTCTCTAGGCAGATGTTAATAATAGGCCTGATGTGATTAAGTAAATGTTTGGCTACCCACGGTATATAGATCGCCTTTGTACCAAACCATTTTGTATCTTTCATACTATATTACTGATACGAATTATGTGGAAGACCATCGCTATTTCTCGATACAAAAATGTCGTTTACATTTAGCGGCTTCCACGAACTCCATCCCATTACATCCATAAAAGGTCGCATTTTCGGCGTACGAGGGTGACATCGGTGGTGGCATAAACGTAATTTCCTGGTACTTCTTGGAACGCAGCCAAAAACGTCACGCTATAAGTCAATACCTGCCACGGTTATAAATAAACAGCTTGGGGAGTGATTTATGAAGTTTAATCCGAATGATCCTAATTTAGTTGTGTTGATTTTCAGTTTCTATAATTTGAATAATTTTGAATTGTTTTCATTCCAAATATTTACCTACATAACATCAGAGGAATTCAATATAAATTATCAAGAGCTTTAAATAGATGTCGAGAATGGATTAGGTTATAAATTTGGAAATACTAGTTTCTCGTTATTTCAGGAGTTGGAATCATTCCAGTTCCCAATTAATCGATTTTATATGTATATAGCCTTGACCTTCTTGTGTACATCAACACTGCAGTGATTCAGGGTATAATTAAGATATAACGTTGCAGGAAGACTTGTATTTTTCTAGAAAAATACGAGTAACAACAAGCGAGGTGTATTTCGTGTGTGACTTTCATGGCTTCATATCCCTTCGAATAAATAAAACAAGTTAATTGTCATGGATTAATGTAAATATGAACCAATTTCTTAATTACGTAACTCTTACATTGATTTTCTTTACCATGCTCGGAAAAGATGAGGGGAATAGAAACTGTAGAAATGGACGAAAACTAATTTTGAATTTTTTAAGAATTTTCGGCGATATCAAAAAGTTTCCTTTAACTACGTTTTAAATCATATTTTCAATATACATAGTGTCATTTTTTAACACAGTAAAATAAAAATACGCGTTAAATTCGAAATTTGAATACCACAAGGCGATTAAGAAACACGAATTTAATTACAGAACTGATAAAAAATAAACGTTTGTCAATCACTTTTATGCTGACTACAAACTGAGATTTTGGAGACAGATAAATCGTAGGGTTATTCCTTCTACCTATTTATAAATTCGTTGAGTAGATGGTGTCCACACTGGACCACTTATATCGGCGTGACCTCATATTCAAGATGCACTTTGGTGCAGAATCATGAGCTAGACAGGAAAATTGCTAAAAATAGTTACTGGTATTTGAACTTTCTTACTTGACCTTCAAATGATATCTGTGGTCATATTTAAGGTTATAGACAAATTACTTTTTTTCATTTCCTAATACTTTACATATATGCCATTTTTCAATAGAATTATGTGCGCTAGTATTGCATAATTAATTCGAATCCAAGTTATCATAAACATAAACTGTACCACTTGTGTACTGGTTGACTCATATTCTGTGTTGTTCCAGAGTCCACTGCCTTATGACAGCTGCCCAATAATAAACGGTACCGTGGAACCTGAATGCCACAAATCGTCAGCGACCGCTTACTTTTGGTACCGAGTCACTTTGGACGCATCGTCCAGTATTGAAGAACCAGGTTGGCCAAGGTGGTGGATCGTACTTTGCTTGTTGCTCTCCTGGATCATCGTCTTCTTCATTGTGATGAAGGGCATACAAAGCTCGGGAAAGGTAGGTGTCAGTTAGGGCAGTCATTAGAGCTCACTTCTTTTACATGAAGAAACATTAATAAGACCAACCAACGGCGCCTTCCGTGGCTTCGTTTTTTCTTTGAGTTTCATATTTAAATTTTTTCCTGTTGAAAATGAAGTAAGTTGACTTTGCATTTCCACGCATAAAAGATTATGGTCACCACGTCTTGGAAAAAAGTTAACATTGGATTAAGCAAATCAAATACAATTAGTCCCCTCCCATTAGACATCGTTTCGACCTTAGAAGGTCGCGTCTGCTTACTGACCATGCGGGTATATGAAACTACTGGAGCCAGAAGCGCATAAATAATCCCCTCCCCCACCCCGTGCAATTCCTTAACCCCAATTTTTCATCCCTCAACATTTTCAAAAACTCCCAAGAGCCTCACACGTATTTATCGAGAGGCAAATTAGCAGTTGGTTCTCTTAATACATACGATTATCGCATAATTTCCCTCTTTCTATGTCGATTGAGTGCTTGTTTCAAAACTAACCCTCAAATTGGGCTTAATCTGTCAATCTTGCAGTAAGTGGCCCATTTAAAATATGTTGAAAAGTAATAGACGTCAAAAAGCAGACCTATTATTTTTGGGGTCAAATACATAAACACAACATACTTTAAAATGCTTACAACTAATTTAAGTTGGACGCTCTTGAATGACCCATAAATGTTTATCTGATCTATGTTAGGTACGAAAGTAACTGTTTTTCTTTCCTTTTTAGGTTGTGTACTTCACTTCGATGTTTCCATACTTAGTATTAACTATATTTTTTGTAAGAGGTATTACCTTAGAAGGAGCTGGTGCTGGTCTAACACATATGTTGAAGCCAAAGGTATGACGTTTATACTCAATATTTCTATACGCCATATTGCTACAATATTTTTTATTCATAAAAAACTCTAATATGAGGGTACATTCTCTTAAAAATGAATTGCTGTACTCTTTCAAATAGACAAGAATCAGTTCTTACTTACGTTACATCCAGCATCAGTGTGGTATAGAATAATGATGATGGATGTAGATAAGAAACAGCCTTGGTATATTTGGGGGAGTTCACCCCGTGTATTACGTATGTTGAAAAGTGACATTTTGTCGTTTTTTTTGACATTCAGTAGGTTTTTTGAGACATAACGTAGGTTTCTCTACAAGATGTTAAATTAGCACCTTAAGCTGTACGGTTTATTGAATGTTAACTACAACTTGAAACACGAATTCACAGACAACTGGTAGTTGTCTTCCAAGTTATAGTTACCTGACTTAAAGTTAACCAGAGATTAAAAACTACCAGGCCTATAAAGAGAATGCTGTAACCTTGCATTCTATCGGGGGATAACAAACTCAAACTCAATTTAAATCATCAAGAGTGCATTGAATTTTTGTGAATTTGAAACGGAACGGCTACTTGAAAATCGTAAAATGCAAAATAGCCTTAAGATGGGGTGGAGTGGACATGTTTGCTTCCCTTCTCTATAACCATGACCAATCGCAAACAGAGATGCTTGGTGCTCATCAGAAACTCATCAGTGTAGTATAGGTCTAGTCCTGGAAACAGAACGAGGAGCAAATAAGTGGGTATGGTCAAAATGTTATGACGAACGCTATCTACCAATAAATTGCAGAGCTGATTTTCATCCTCATCCCATACAATGAAGGACCCTTACGTCCACTGGCTCATAATTGCTCGACGTTCTGCGCTATGCACAGAAGATGTCACACCAGCATTATGCTCGCCCATCAAGTGGTCGGACTTGCAGTAATAAGCCAGATTGTGTAAGGATTATCTGTCATCTTCATCCTATGGGACAAACCTTAGAATAGTTCAGGAAGCCACGATCAACATTTCCCTCATTTTTTAGAAAAACTAGAACTATGACTTATTGTTTCAACTATTTCAGGTGGACAAACTTCTGGATCCAAAAGTATGGTTGGACGCAGCAACGCAAGTCTTCTACTCCTTTGGTCTAGCTTTTGGATCTCTGATCGCTTTTGGATCCTACAATACTCCAAAGAACAATTGCGTCCGCGATGTCATCTTAGTGTCAGTTTGCAATGCTATGACCGCTATATATGCGAGTGTAGTAATTTTCGCCATATTGGGCTTCAAGGCCGTTAGCAATGTCAAGAGCTGTGAAAAAGAGTAAGTAAAAATATCAATCAACTTTTATTTTGAATGATGGTGAATAGCAAGGGGACCGTATCTGCTTTTACCTTCTCTCATGGAGTATAATACAAGAGAAACATGTTGCAGGTTATACAAGTTTCTGATGCATAAGTGGCACGTTATGTAGAGCAATTTGTTGCAATGGAAACGTATCTTAAGGGTAGGACAAACATAGAGATTTTTCAACGTAGAGCGTTGAAACTATACGGTCCGGATGGGCAGGGTGAGGTCAGTTAGCAAAAGGTCATTTGGGACTGGAACTACCTCAAAAAGAGATACGAAAAATCAGTATTCTTTGAGAAATACTGATAATCAGGTGTCAGATATTGAATTGACCATTTTGATTACTCTGGCTACGAACCTTATACAATCTCAGAATCAACCTCCTATTCGATACCTCCAAGTGTATTCAGGCATGCATTGATTTGTAGTGGCATTACGACGTATTCTATTTATATTACAAATAGCTGGGATAACGAAAAGAAATCGCAAACCAATCAAAATTATGTTTACTTTACCGGAAATAACTGCCAGTTTTGATAACATGTCCTTTTTAGTATTATCGGAACTGACTGAAGGTATTTTTGAGATATACGATTTAACTGCGTTCTCCATTCAAGATGTTCATTTTGATATTAGGACTTTCACCTTGTATTTTTCATAAATGCCGTCTTTCATGTTTAGCCTTTCTCATAATTTGTAACTTTGTACCACGAAGGTTGAGCGATTTCAAAGATATCAATCTTGTACATTGTACTGGGCGGGCTATTAATAAAGGACGACTGCTACAGCCGCTAAGCACTCTACATTTTATAAAAATGGCGTCAAGTAGATTGACTCTGTATGTATGTAATGAAGCATAATAAGTAAATGATAAAAATTTCAAAATGATTGCACTGTTTTAAAGCCCTTTGACCTTTAATAATATGTGGGTGCACCCTGATATTCTACGCATTCTCCAACGCGCCTAGGCATGCTTCTGATCAGGTGGTCAATATCCTCCTGTGGTATCTCATTCCAGGTAACCACCAACTCCTCTCGAAGTGCTTCTAGAGTCTGAGGAGGACGTTGCAAATTGAGCAATCTCCTACCCTTCATATCCCACACGTGCTCAATTGGGGATAAGTCTGGAGATCTTGGCCATGGTAACAATGTGACATCATTATGTTGAAAGAAGTCTATTGTGCTCTTGCAACATGTGGTCGGGCTAATGACATTCCAACAAGATAATTCTTGTTGGAATGTCGGATCTGCCAGGGTGTCAAGATAGGGTAAAAGACGGGGTTCTAGAACTTCGTGGATATAACGCTGCGCGTTCATGTTACCTCTGATGAAGATTAAAGGTGACCTGGAACCATAAGCTATAGCACCCCAAACCATAACTCCAACAGTGCGATGAACATGTCTTTCAACAAAAAACTGTGGATTCCTCCTTTCACCACGTCGCCTTCTAACCCTGGCACGACCATCGTGCATGCCTAAACAAAATCGAAACTCGTCACTAAAGACAATACTGTTCCATTCCTGATCCCAGAGTGACCGTTGTCTGCACCACTCAAGGCGATTACGTCGGTGTTCTCGAGTTAAAGGGAGGACCCAGTGTGGCCGGTATGAAAACAAGCCAAAAGTTCTCATTCGTCGGTAAACACTTCGCATGCCAATAGGTCTTCCGTGTTCTGCAAACCATTCATTTGCAATTGACCTGGTAGTGGAGAAACGGTCCCTTAAGGCCAATAATCTTAGGCGGCGATCTTCACGGTCTTGTTCTACGGCGGCGTCCAGTGCCCCTTGCTCTTTGCATACGGCCTTCTCGAAGCCATGCCTGACAACACCTAACCACAGTGTCTACACTTCTTTGCACTCTAACTGCAATTGCCCGAAAAGAGAGTCCAGCTTCCCGAAGTCCCACTATACGGCCCCTATCAAACTCACTAAGTTGACGAAATCGTACAGGTCTCCGTACTCTAGTCATCGTAACCGATCGTAAAGGATGTCAAGAACCAAAATCCGCCAACGTTGATTCTTTACTGCGGCTGAAATATTCATTTTTAGAGCGTTAGTGAATTAAAAACAAGCAGTATAAAAACCGGAATGTCCAACTGATAAGGCTGGAAATTTTTTCACTTGTTATTTACAGTAAGATAAATACATTCACCAACTTTTATTAAAATAAAACCATTTAAACTGGGTGTTCGGATTTATATGTCACTTAGTATATTTTGAGTTCTATAGGTTGGCCACTAGGTTGCGTAATTCTAATCTCAAAAATAAAAGTCACATTTTTTCACAAACCTTCATAAGTAGCGCAAATAAGTCTAAAATAGTTTTTTTTTTATTATATATGAATGTTTTTGTTGACATGCTATTTTGTTAATTTGGTTGGCATAAGGAGGAGGGCGGAAATCACCGATTTTCGTCGCGTTGTTTAATTCCAAAGGGCTTTGAGCCTCATTCCTCATGAAAGCCTAATTCTGCCATGCCAAATTTTCTTTTCCTATAGTTTTCAGGATTTTTCCAAAATTTCGGAATGCAATGCAAAACATTCAAAAGTAATACGATCCAATACACAATATTTAATAGTGTTGATCTACTTTTTCAGTAACGAAGAATTACTTGCCCAATCACATGGGTTAGCAACAACGGTAGCAATGGGAGATCATCTGAACATCACTGGTTTGAGGGATTGTTCTCTGGACAGAGAATTAGATGCAGTAAGTACTACTTCATTATCTCTTAATTTTTTCTCTTGACTATGGATGTTGTGATTGTCCGTAGGTGGTAGACGGTCTCTGACTGTCGAACGCGGAGATCCGCCGGGTGGTACGGCGGATCTCGAAGGCGGAGCCAGAATGTGTGCATGTTGCATGAACACGTGTTCCCTCGCCAGAGTCCGTGTGGCGTTCCCCCTTTCCTATGTATCCCCCTATAGCCCCACGGTACCCAATGGGTGCTTAGGCATTAGGCTTTCGTGGTAGTTGGAGTATAAAAAAAATCTCAAACTCTTACTAAGAAGGTTGTCCGGACCAAAACCCCGAAATAAAATACTTTGAAAAAATAATTTATAAAGATACTGTATTGAGTATTGCCCTTCTACATCAATACAGCCTTACCAGCGTTCTGGCAACTTGCTAACAGCAAGATACTTTCAATTTTCGTTTCTTTTTTGTTACACAGAAGGAGCCTCGCAGGGCACCGCAGTTGCTATGAAAGGCTCAAAGAAACTTTGTTAAACCGATTTTTGAAATGTCTATGGTTAGTTGAACTTGGAAAAGTCTCCTCATGTAGACTGTTCCAGAATCTCGGAACCCTAGGGACAAAGGAGCGGTCGTATCCACCAGTTCTGGATGTACTAAGTTCGACACGTTTAGTATGGGTCGCTAAAATCGGGCAGGCCTCTTTGGCAGTAGCATGGAGGAGCAAAGCGCGTCGACGTAGCATTAGAAAAGAGCTAGATCGCCGACGGTTTGCCGATGCGAAAGGCTCCCGAGACTGTCCATTGGATTAGAGCCATCGATCAGTCGGATAGCCCTTCTCTGAGCAACATCGAGCATGGATAATGTAGTCAGAGTGGCAGCACCCCAAATATGTGAGCAGTACTCGAGGCTATGACTTATCTGGGCCTCATGCAGAGTGAGATCAGTACTTCTTAGCCCTAAACAAAAAGCCCAGCTTTCCCCAGCACTTATCCTATTGATGCGGTTAAGCCAAATCAAGTCCTCGGTGATCTGGACTCCGACCAGCCGAAATGAACGGCTCTTTGGTAGAACTCGGCCAAAATCGCACGACTTTTAATCGTGGTTTCACAATGAACGATTATGGTATGCGATAGTCCTACGCGACGGCCTAATTTCCGAGTGCTGATATCTGCATTGATTTCCACGATATTTAAAATATGTTCCTCCTGCTCTTCAGTAACCTGTCTTTCATGAGTGCGAATATTAGTGGGCTGAACACTTCCTGTATCTCGAAGTCATTGGTACACTTGCACAAATGTCTTTCTGTCTGGGTGTACCCGTTGGCGAAATCTGTCGCGATAAATTTGAGCTGCAAGATTTGAATTCTGACGAGCTTCACCGTAAACTAACAACATGTCGGCGAACTCTTGATTCGAGAACATTGTAAATAAACACGACGACGTACGCGAACAAAAACAAAACAACATACTAACCACTGTTACCGTTTGCGATCGATTGACGGTTCGATAAGACTGATGAAAGACCGACGCGCTGTTGTCATGTGTGTTTTAAATATTTAATGTAATGAAACCTACTTACTTACTGACTACAAATTTTCGCTTAACTTAGAAAAACTTAATGCTATTTATTTTTTAATTACCCAATTTAAAAACGTTTTAGATTAGATTATAAAAATTAGTAAGATTGTGGTGATTGTGGTCGATATGAAGCACTTAAAGTTGTAAACTATAAAGCCATTTAGACAAAAATCTATTGACTTTTGGACCATGGGTCATATGAACTTTTGACTTGTTTTGACACCCCCTATTACCCATTTCAGTAATGACTACCATAACGTTTACACCCTGTAAAGTGAATAAAATGTTTACTGACTGATTTTCAGACATTATCGTACAATTTGGCATATTCACACTTTATTAAGAACACATGACAGATCTGTACATCGTAAAAGTCTATTACACACTACGAGTATTTTACAGTCCATTACTCTCAATTTATGAGTAACAAAAATTTAAGACTACTCATCATCAACGACAGCTGGCTTCCAAATCATATTAGTGATGTAAAATAATTAAGTAACGCTTACAAAATAATCGTTACAAATGAGTAACTAAATGTAACGAGTCCTACTTTTCGAAAAGACTCGTTACTTTTTATTTGAATTCGTTACTTTGAATGCGATACGGTCTTTTTCTATGTATACTTTTTAATTACTGCTAGTTACTACACTATACATTACTTTAGATACAAACGTTACTGGGATCTAATGTAGCCAGTACTGCCAGCGCCAGCAGCAAGTGACTTGGTTCTTGGATGTAAACTGGGTGGAAATGAAATGATGCGAATATCGTTAGGCTTAGGCAACTTTAGATGCTCTTCTATCAAACGAGTTGCGGACTGCGGAGCTTTAGGTTGGCAATGTTTGTGTACACCTGTACACTTTTCATTTGACTTTGAGAGCTACCGGTTGGCAGGTTGTTACTGGTTTGGACGTTGCCGTACAAGCTCGAGCAATAATATTATTATTATTTTTACAAAAATATGGAATCATCCGCGTCCGGTTCAGGAGAATCGCAATCTCAAAAAAGAAGTGTTATTTGGATGCATTTCACCAATATATCGGACGCTAATGCAAAGTCTAATCTTTGTAAAAATATTTATTCGCATAAAAATGGAAACATTAGCAATTTAAGGAAGCATTTGAAAACTAAACATCCGACTCTTTCATTGGAAGGAGAAAGGGCAAAACGGCGGGTGGAAGACGAAAATATGCCTAGGTGCAAAAGGAACCTAGTTTCAGGTATGTTTTATTATTATAAGTATTTTGTTGAACACCATTTACAGTGGAGTAGCCAGACTGTTAAGTAGGGTAGGGGAGTAACCAGACTGTTAGGGCAGGGGACGCTACTCAACTAAAGTAAAGAGTGAGGAGAGTGGTTCCTCCACGGTCCCCATCTGGTTATGCCACTTGTTAAATACTATTTACAGCGTACAGCCAACGACCAGACGTCACACAACGACGAGTTTAAAATATAAGTCCCTTCTACGTATCAAATATCAAAAAAATTAATAGGCAAGGCATTAGACAAAAAATAATAATTGGATCAATCCCAAAGTAATAATTTGATATAATATTTAGAATGTAGGTTCTAAACGAAATGTCCAAATACTAACTAAACTAACGAGTCCAAAGTTCGAAAGTAACGAGTCCTTACAAGTCCTAAAAAGTAACGAAACTTTGCATCACTAAATCATATAGCTTCAACTTGATGTTCGACTGAACTTTCTTGTTTAATTTCTGGATTTGTTTTTTTTTATTGAAGAGATAGTTGAGCTACACGGAAGTTCAACAGACTTAATCGTCATTGTTCTTGAAAATGATAAAAAAACCTGTTCAGCCATTCGTATTCAAAATTTAACTTATTTATTTGATTCTAATTCGATGTTTTTACAGGCTGCCGAGGGAACAGGTCTAGCTTTCATAGTCTTCACGCAAGCCATCGTAGAGTTGCCAGGCGCACCATTCTGGGCTATCATCTTTTTCATGATGCTTCTTTCACTGGGTATCGGTTCTCAAATCGGTATCCTGGAAGGCATGCTATGTACGATCTTTGACATCGAGATATTCAAGAGGGTCAGCAAACAGTACATCACAGGTAATTTCATAAGGATACCCAGGTTTCCTCATAATTTTTCATTAAAATGCTGCATTGTGAAAGAGAATATAATTTAGAAATTTAACAAACGTCCCAAAATCGTTATAATTTTCTCTTTATTTTATTCTTAGCGGGGTTTTTTAATAAATTGCACATTTTCTGCTCTTCAGAATGGCATAATTAGAATTTTAATATGACGCTTCGTTCCTTGTTCTCCAGCAACACTTTCATTTTTTCTTGAGGGCGCCATATTGGAATTTGTGTATGCTGCTTTTAAAAATATTATTCCTTTATTGACATTGCCAACTTCAGTTATTCCAGAAAAACAGAAGTTCCTAGGTAGGCCTTGAAATTATCAGAGAGTCAATTGTTTCGTATACCAGACCAGACCTTAAATAACATAGTAACACAGTTTGGAAGACTGAAAAAAAGAGAAATAAATAGAGCAGTGAGCAGTATACAGAGAAGAATCAGGCTTTGCCTACAAAATGACGAACAGGATTTTGAACATCTGTTCTGATTTACCTCTGCTTATTATTACTATTATTACCATCAATAAGCATTTCCTTTTGTGTTTAGATTTCAACGTACCTCTTTATTTCGGTATAATGTTCGTTCCGTCAACAAATTCATTTATTTATTTATTTATATACAGTTTGGGGTGTTAACAGGTAAACCCAACACACACCCTCAGTGAACTAAAACTAAACTTACATAAAATATCGTATACATATACATATATTACATTATTGAATACTTCAATATTAGTATTTTTTTATCCTCCGATATTGTTGCAACAACGTAAACTGAGTGTGTAGTTCTAATTATAAGCAATAAACTATTAATTTAACTTTTTTAATAAAAGGAGTATACATAATTTAACATTTACTTACGTTTAATTAAAACTGAAATCAAAATTAAATTGAAATTATACCAGAAATGATATTGGAGGTGATAGTTATGTAAAAAAATAAAACATTTCTATTTTAGTCTGCCATAGAGCTGTAATACTCATACTTTAAAGCCTTTTTCAGGGAGGTCAAGCTAATGTTAAATAAATCTATATTACAGAAATTATTATGATTTTTTTGAGCACTGACCAAAGGGGAATTAAGACCAAGATTGGTTCTACGGAACGGTATTCTAAACAGATGATAGGTTCTAAACGTTCTATCAGGAGTGTTACAGTTCAAGTTTGCCAAAAGATCCGTACAGTCAGTGAGGCCATTCAACAATTTATGGACACAGCAAATGTTAGAAATTGTTCTTCTATCTTTTAAGGAAATCATATTGAACTGTTTCATAATTTGCGTATAATGATGATCTGTAACAGGATGGTGAGTTTTATAACATCTTCAAAAATTTGTGTTGAATTCTTTCTATCCTGACTATATGTACATTGTAAGACGGATTCCATATTACTGATGCAAACATCAGTTTGTTGTGTATATAAGCGTAGTACAATGAAAGAAGCGTTTTTGGGTTCGTAAATTCTCTGCATGTCCTGTTTATGAACCCTAGTGTTCTATTTGCATCATTTACGATGTGCTCTACGTGGGTGATGAATGAGAGTTTCTCATCAATGTATACCCCTAGGTCTTTTACTACATGAAGCTTTTCCAGTTCTGCCGTCCCTATCTTATATCTGATATCTATAGTGTTCGCCAACATGGCCAACAAAGGAAAAAAATCGCTGAATTTAGTACTGAAACATAGCGTCCATATAAAAAACTAAATTCGTGATGGATGTCGAAAGTAGAAACCTTACCATTTTGCAGAGTAGAATAAGTAACAATTTGTTTTAAAATCCCATCACAAATAAAGTCAGGGAGAAATAAAAATGATTGTGGAATAAATCTGGAATGCCAATAATTTTTACACTTGGTAACTGATACCCGAAGGAGGTTATAGGAAAAAAGATTCATCTAATAGTGATCTTAAACGAGACTTTGACCATGACCTTCAAGCTCATTTGAAGGTCAAGACAGATTTCTCGAAAGGAACCCATTTATTTTGACAGCCAAATAAAAAGAGCAAAAAACTTTGCATCCAAGTATGTCCATGGCCTTGACTATGACTATCAAGGTAATAATTTATAAAAATTATAAAATAATCCATGTCAATTATATTTTAAAGAAAGTTAGATTTGTATCCTAAAAAATTAAATACCTTGGGAATATATTGACAGAAAAATATCTTCGAACATTATACCATGCACTGATTGAGCCTCATCTCACATATGGTATATTAGCATGGGGAGCTGCATGTTCCTCACATATCTATAATTTAGATGTTTATCAAAAAAGTATTCTAAAAATGATATCCAAAAAACCGAAACTTTATCCCACTGAAACATTATACGCAGATGTTCGATTGTATGATATAAGACAGCGTTATTTATTACACAGTATCACTCACTACCATAAATTTGTAAACACCGACCAAAAAATTAAACATAATCATTATACAAGGTACAAAAATCGTGGCACAGTAGTTCCTCAACCGCATAAATCTATAATGCAGCGATCATATCTCTATTTAGCGCCTAAATTTTATGAAATTATACCTAAAGACTTAAAAGATTTACGTTTCGGCAATTGTTTCAAAAGAAATTTAAAAAAATGGCTACATTCTATATCTAGGACTGAAATTCATAAACTCATAAATACGAACATCAACTAAATACATAATCTACTGTACAGCACAGCCGATGCCTTCTATTGGGCCTGTTTTGATTTTATATTTATTTACTCACATTGTTTGTTATCTTTATACATTGAGTGAATAAATATTATTATTATTATAATTTGAAGACCAAATGAATTTTCAACGGAAAACGTCTATTTTTAACTTCTGAACTGCTAATTGTGGTAAATTTTAATCTCAGGTATACCGTAACTTCTTACTTTTTGTCAAAAATGTAAAAAATGGGACATTGAAATTAATTAACTGTTGACTTAGAACATTGGATGAAAAATGTTCATTTCCAAAGTAACCATTGCATTATTTTGAATATTACATCTTCCTCCGACGCCAAGCTTCTTTACCTCCACACTAATGCAAAACGAATGACCTGTGTCATGATTCTAATTGAAGTTCGACCCTCGACCCTTGACACTGCCATGATAATTTGACTATGAAAGAACGAGAACCAGGAATCAAATTATCATAGAGGTTTATTATGTATGCGACATCGAAATTTGTTTCCACAGTTGACATTCCTTTGGAATCATGCTTTACACTACTTTCAGGCGAGCGGAGCCGCGGATTTAATCTTGTCCTTGATATATTTTTCTCTTTTTCCAGCAACTGTGTGCATAATTTGCTTCTTCGTCGGCATAATCTTCACAACAGGCGCTGGCGAATACTGGCTAAGCATGTTCGACTCATTCGCTGGAACCATTGGACTGGTAGTGGTCGCCATGATGGAAATGATATCGGTGGTCTACGTTTACGGACACGAGAAATTCACCAAAGACATCCAAGATATGACAGGATACAAGCCAGGCATCTACTGGCAGGTCACGTGGCGGTTTCTAGCTCCCATCATCATGGCGGTCATTTTGGTGTCCTCGGTGGTGTCTATGGTTATCAAGCATCCGACGTATCAAGCGTGGAGTAGAGAAGAGGTAAGTGAAGTATCATTTCTTGCTTGCTTTTTGTTTTAACAAGCTTATATTTAAATTGACTTCTTTACAAGCTTCTTAGTATGTTAGTATGACTGGTACAAATCATGGAACACAATTATGAACCAGCCAACCTTAACCAATTACGTTGAAGTTTTATACACACGTTTGATTTGTATGTCAATACAGAATAAATTACCTGCCGCCGTTTTCAAATCAATATGGCCGATGCCACAAATTGGCGATTCATCATTTCCATATGATATGGGTATCAAATGAAAGAGCTTGATGAGAGAAACACAATAAGCGAAGTGACGTCATTACAAATCATTTAACATTTAAATAAAGGCGTTCTCCGTTTTGACAGGAGAATGGAAAAAGGGTGTAAAATGCTTTTATTTGAAAACTTGAGATGAAGGAGCTTCATTATCGGTTAAATATTTCCAAAAGGAAAAAATATTTTTTAATTTTTTATTCATTTTGTTAACAGCTAAATAAAAGCTAGTTTTTAAAAATGTATTTTTGTTCTATTTATTAACCATCGACACGGGCAGTTCGCAAGATATAGAAGCCACAAAATTGACATAATTGCTTGTTGTACATGCATACAAGGTGTTACAGAATTTTGTCAAGAAATTTAGATCGCAGAGTGAGTTGTTTCCAAAATGCTTGTCCACATTTAACAGTTCACCTTACATTTCTCAAAAACAGATTGAGATATTGACGACTTTTAAACTGGGTTGAAGCCTGAAGCTTTCTATAGTTTGTATGTGCTTCCTATATCGTGGGCTTATAATAGCTTGTAACATTTTGCATGAAAATTAGTGCACACTATGCCCATTTATATGTTTTAATCGCGAAAAGTTTCGAAATTATATTGGAGTTTTGGGATTATAGGGTACTGAATGTTTGTAAACGTTGCATCTTCTGGTCCCGATAATATTAACCATCGGTCAGATATACTAGTGATACACATAATATTGATAGTGAACATTATGTTCACCACTCGCGACCGCCCGATGACGCCAGTAAATTTACCTTGATGGACAAGGTACGAGCACGGGCAAACCACCGCGCAGGCCACGTTCTCGGCGAATACTGGAGTTGAGAATGTTTGCGATATTGTTTTTGGATTATTGTATTATAAGTTTAACATAGCTTTGCGTTCTAAAGTTTAGCGGCAGATGTTGCATTATCTATGATACGCAATTTCTTTTTGTGTGGGAAGTACAAAATCAATTTACATGAAGCCATTTTTTACAGGGTGATACCGTAGCTACCCCTTATCCCACTTGGGTGCTTGGCATAGCAATCTCGATGATCCTGGCAGGCATCCTTCCGATCCCCATAGTATTCCTGCTGCGTCGCTACCAGATCCTGAAGATGGACATCAACATTCACGAAGGCTCCATTAGAAGGATCGACACTACTGTGTCCACGAAGGAAATGATCACAGACGTTGATGTAAGTATAACACTGCAAAGTAAAATGGTGGCTTATCTAAATGTTCGTATGCTAACTTTACTGCACAATACGCGGCACGGAATAGCTCATACTGGTTTTGAGGTATATCGACGTTATGTTGAGACAACAGCCGTTACGTCTGCTTTTTAACACCTGAGCAGACAAAATTTGTATATACCACAAATGTTTGTTCTAACTACAAAAAGCCCTGCCCTGGAGGTTTTCTTGCGTAACAGAGTCAATTCGCGACATTTCATATCTGTCAAAACGCGTTTGTTAAGAAATGTAGTTTTTAAATAAATAACAAGACATTGTCCATAACACTCAAGTTTGATATAATTATTTTGACCATATTTGTTTGACTCCACTAGGAGATGCTGCATAGCAATACGAGTATATGAGTTTTTGTTTTTTTGCTTGAAAGTTACTCTGTCGACTCAGCGTTGATCTTAGAAAATATATCAGCACTACCTAGTACGACTGCCCAACCACCACAACAGATAGACTGACAGATACTCCATCAAAGGGTAATATTGGCATAACATTTCGCGTTCACAAATTAATAGAATTTTTAAAAAGATCAATAAACACTGGCAGTCAATCTACATTTTTGTCTCGCCTTTTAGAATACGTTCTGAATTACAGACCATGAGCAATACGTATAATCGTTGATTGTTATTATTATTAGAAAATTGTCCATCGAATTGGCGATCTTCAGGTAAATACGTAATTCAATGTTATATTGTTCAATGAAACTTTATTTTAAAGAATAGAGCCCAACTCATTTTTAGTCAAACTTTATGATGGAATATCTTAGAAACGATGGTACTTAGAACGATATATAACTCAAAAAAGATATTTATTCAAAATATACAGAAGAATGGTTGAACTCTTGATTATTCTTCTCACAACCAGTCGGAGTTAATACATATTCTTACGCTTAAGCAATTTGTGGTATACACAGAAAAAATATGGTTATCAATAACAAACAGAAGAATCTTCGAACCTTTTTAAACCAGCTGAAAATCTCATTTTTTTACGCTCCAGCAATTTGGTCAATTTGTGTGTTTCTGCTACCTAGTGTTATATCACCACTTATTATGAGCAAAGGTCAAAGTTGGGCCCTAATGACCTTTGTATGTATAAATATGTATACCTACCGATATTTTAAATATGGGGCCGTTCAAGTATTACGTAAGCAGATTTATTACAATTATTTACCCCCCCCATCCCCCTTGTCAGCAAAAGTAAGCAAAGCTCTTACCCCCTCCCCCCATGCTTACGTAAACATCTGTCAATTAATGTATTGTTTTTTTTTAATATTATGATTATAACGTTATAATTATAATTTGAAAAATAAGAAAATAGATTTAGGATAGAGATCATATTTTACTGATACGTTATTCAACATAGAGTAAAGGACAAAAATATTATATCTTACTAACATAACAAACATATTTTAAATTTTTGGTACATATATTAAATTCAAATTAACAGTCTTCAGTCCATGAAACCCGAATCCATGATTCTAAGTTTTCGATGACTTTGGATTGCTTCGATTGCTGCTCAGTGTTGTGAGTTTGCTCGCTTTCATCAGATTTTCGAATGTCTACGTCGTTCTCATCGAGCCATTCAGCATCATGGTGCTCTAAATTTTGAATAATGCACATCAGTGATATTTTCGATGTGACGATTTAGTGACTTGACGGAGGCATGATAAAGACACACGTTTTGCATGTTCGACTTGATAGCCTCAATTTTACCGTCGGACCAAAATAATCGTAGGGCATTTGCAGGAAATCTTTGAGTGAAGCACTTACGCGTAGAGCTAAATTGACTGGAAGATTAAGAAATTGCCCTCCTTCATCCAAAACCAAGTCATCAACTGTTTGTTTTACTTTTACAGGTGGTGGAAGAAACCTATTGTCTAGTAATCTAAATAGGCCACTTCTTGGACGACAGCATTCTGTATTTCTACATTTTACAAATACCATTTAATGTCACGAAGATCTTGTTCACCTGCCCCAACATATTTTGCATTAACATTATAGCCATCAATTTCCATTGAACTCCATACTTCAGCTAATACATTTCCTGCAAATTCGAAATTATATCTTTCTAAATGTTCATCAATTGTAACGCCACGTTCATCCAAATGAGACCCAAAAAGGTGATGAGGCAATATTAAACCAACCAGTTCCCGACTAAAAGGAGCCATTCTGCGCTCTACTATGTTATACGCACTTCTTCCAGGAGCATTGGTAGCTAAAAACAATGCATCGAGATCATGTCGCTTAAAGTGTTGTATAGCAAACCCTATGACTTTTTGATAACGTGGATTTTCATCTGGCCCTCCATCAACCGTCATGATTACCACTGGTTTTACTAGTCAATGGTCAGTTTTAGCTAATGGTCGAAACTCTTCAAGTTCGAGAAGCGTCTCGAAATTCTGAGCATGAGTATTAGCAGAAGATGAACTATGCTTTCCACTTCGAATAGCGATGTATGTTGGTCCAGAATATCCAACGGCTTGCGGTTGTCCTAGCATATTGGATTTTGATACCAGCATAAACAGATGGTATTAATTTATGACGCTCTGCGATTACCCAATCGTGATCAGGCAATTTGATTCTATATTCCATGTGCATTAGAAGAGGTGCTTGCTTATTTGCCGCAGTTACGCCAATAGGGACTCGAGCTTTATCATCTTGCGATATGAAAAATACTTGATCTGGTCCAAGTATGGATGCTATGTTCTCTAAATAATGGATTGATGTTGCAGCGAACTTGCTATCTAAGTGGCTCTTGTGGTGATCAGTTTGAGCCCGAATGAGCTTAACAGGGACTGTCGATACATGCCTTCGTCCCTCTGCAGAATTAGATTTTCGGGGAATCAAACGAAGACATGTCCCACTGCGACTAATGTCAAATCCTATTTTACGTAATTCTTGTGTGAGTTCATCAAGAGTTTTTACGCTGCGAATTGATTCCGTTCATCTTCTATCATTTGCTTCACTCCCAAATAAAGCTATATCCGCGATTGTTTTCAATACTGAATGTTGATTGCTTTCAAGACTAGGACGTCCCACTGAATCTCTCAGAGATAGTCTTTTTTTATTTCTGGATTTTCATGACAAATATCTTCTAACTTACTTTTCATACCATCCCTGTGTTTCTTCTGGGCAACTGTTTAAAGACTGTTTTGCTGTTTCCTCGCACAACTTAATGATCTGCTTATCAACTTCAGCACAGCTTGGCATAGTAGCTCTGGCAGAATACAAAGCATTCAGATTTTTTTCGAGTAGAGCAATCTTATTTTTCATAGCTTCCTGAGAAGGTTTTGCTCTCTGTTTATCTATATTTTCATTAATTTCGCATTGTTGTTGTGATTCATTACCGGGTTGCCTAAAAATAAAAGCTTTCTATGGCTTCTGCTAAATACTCTCTTATTAAGCTACATAAATACAAAGTATGGGAATATATATGGTAAATACAAAACCCTATGGATTTAAATCTAATATGTTTAAACGAGCAATTCGTTCCGTTCACAAAATAGTTAGTTTTCTGTATATATGTATAAAACTAACATCCTGTACTTTGTGACCAATTGAAGGAATCAATCATAAGAAATAAATCTATAATATAATGAATATTACCTCTATACTTTGAGATAGGCCATAATATTTTATAATCAGTATAGAGAAACTTTTTGGCGATTTCTAATATTTCTAGTACTCATAGGTACCTAAAATGACTTCCTCATTCACCTTAGAAAAAAAATTTAGTAGATTGGATTTATTCTTAGTCGCCGCTTGCAATTCTTCTTCGATTCTCTTAGATATAATAATATCTAGTTCCTTGTCGGATTTTGCTTGTAATTTCGCCACACTTTGTTAACTAACCTTTGTACATTTTGTACTTTCGTACTTGTATGAGATTTTTTTAAACTTTTAAACACGTTTTGGTATAACTTGGATTTGACTATGTGAAACGACATCTTATTTAAACATTAAACTTTGGCTAATGGAATCAATGGTAACACATATGTTAACTAGCTTTACTATGCTTACAATACGTCTACTCGCTATAGTATCCAAACGAAACAATACACTGATAGAGGAAATTTAGACAAGTGAACACCGCGCGGTAATTCCCCTACTCGGTTCTAAAGCCAGTAGGGGAATTACCGCGCGCTGTTCACTAAACGTATGCATTATTTGCGGGAATCCCCGAAAATGCGTTTCGTTTTCAAGCAAAGTTAATGTAAGGGTTGCCATTCGTGTAAAAAAGTAAATAACTACCGATGACGTAATCATCATCTAGACTACCCTACCCCCCATGTCATCCAAAATAAGCAAAGCAAAGACCCCCTCCCCTCCCCTCCCCCCATAGTGCTCACGTTATACTTGAACGGCCTCTATTCCATTTTCAAATATCTATATGTAACAAAAAGCTACCAGCTTGGGAAGACCAAGGAGCAGAAACAAAAATTCACAAATTGCATAAGCGTCGAGTATGTCTGTATTCCGTGCAGTAAGTATATAGGTAGTCGCTAATGTTGTACTTACATGTAATAGGAACAATTAACAAGTCCGGACGGTCCTTGTCTAACAGCTACAAACACGCTCAAAAACAAATTCACTATAGGAGATTTCGAAGTGTAAAATGTAAGTAGCAGATTGATGATGCAACCAAAAATTATTACCTATTTACTTCAGACCTAACAAGTAGAAGCTCGTTAGAAAGTCCTTAACATTAGTGCCTGTTCCGTTTTGATTTAACTGACCGTATTGTTACCCCTGAACAAACATCTTGACATGGTACTTTTCATCAGTACCTAGTTAATTATCTAGTTTCTGTTAGGAGTGCATGTCATTTTCTATATAAAGCATGTTCGAAAAGTCGATATCGAACCCACACTCCAAAATGAAAAAAAATGAGCACCATGTACCTTAGTACAATATTTTGCGCAATTTTTAGAAATCTTATAAAAAATCGAAAATCATGTCATAAACCATCGCTTATTCGTTTATGGAGAACAACTCCTTTCTTCTGTTATAATTTATCTTGATGTATAACCTTTTATGGAAACGTTTGTCAATGTTTTGAATTAAAATCATTGAAAAAACTCCCCTAACTTCTGCTCTTTTTTATGGTATGTCATGCGAAACGATGCTACCATGATTTCTTTCTCAATGATCCATAATATTAAAATCACCAAAAACAAAACAAAAAGTATACCCTACTTAGAAATGTTGTGGGATTTTTGGATATTAAATGTTTTTGATTTGTGCAGTTGCCATACCTACACAGTAAATCTTCGGAAAAGGTACACGGTACCCTGTAACCGAGACACTTTTAGTAAACTGGCTTCTGCAACAGGAATACGGAACAAGGACGGAAAAATGCATAAGAAATAATAATAATTCTTATTCAAATTGCTATCCAGATATGGGACGACAACATTATATGAACAGTTAATTAAATTACAATTTCATAGTATAGCTAACATGATAAATAACCGTCAAAGGTCAGATTCCTATAAAAGACAGACATGATTAAATAACAGTAAGTAAGTTATGAAATAAGTAACAAAAACACTTGCATATAGATAACATAAATAGAAGCAGTATCGGCATAAATATATAATAAGTAAATGACAATAGAATATGCAGTAATTATAGAGAATTATAATACTCATTTAGGGTATATACATTTTAAGAGCTATTTTTTGAAAAATTCTAAATCATTGATAGTTTTCAACTCGGAGGGCAATTTACTTGCAATTTGCATTTTGTTATTGGGTAAATAAATAATTTTATCACTATCAAGTGCTTTGCTTTAAAAAGAATGATTTTGTGTAATGTCAATCCTAGTATTCTGCTTGTTCTAGCATTTTCGTTTATTAAGAAAGGAATTTTTTTCAATCATTTTAAATTGTTACCAAAATTGTCCATAGAATAGTTCAAAAACCCGCAAACTATATAGCAAACCAAATTATTTTTTACAACGTATACGCCATCTTTCGATAACGTCAAAACTATTTGTATCAAACGTACTTCAAGAAAAAGGATACAAACGAGAAAACAAAACAAGCGATGGCACGTGCCATGTTTTTTTTTCTAGAGTTACTTAACGTTGCGGAGAACTTAAAAATGCTTCTTCTCTTTGTACTAAGGTACATGGGTCTTAATGTGTCCGAAATAGGTTTACTATTAGCCCTTTAAAAGTTTGAATCGAGGGTCCAAGCATGCTGTATGTATATAATGTTAGTATGTTTTGCCAACTTCCTTGATTTGTTGCTTTTTGTAGCCAAGATTAAGCATCTTTAGAAGGTCGCATGATTTCAACTACTATGTCAATTTTATTCGCCTTTGTAGTATAAGTAGCTTAGCTACAAATCATACAAAAGATTATTTATGAGAATGCTAATGCTAATATAGGAAACATTAAATCATAAATTCCAGTGAAAAAGTAGAAGCAATAATATAATCAAGTGATGGAGGGACAAAACTGATATGAAATTCGTAGAAGGCATCGCTCAAAAACACAAAGAGAAGCGGTTATTTGTGGCTTGGGTCAGTTCATCTGTTGGCTATGGAGCCGAGTTCCTACTGTGGTTAATTCAGAATACGAGAAGCAGCCCAAAAGGATTCCAGAAGTATTAACTGACCATGCATTTTTGCTGCATTCAATAAATTCCCATTGAGGCATCCTAACTCAATTAAGCAAGAATTACTACGAAAATGACGTGTTTCGGCTCTTACAGCTCAAAAAGTTTTCTCAAATTATTATAACAAAAATTTATGAGCTGGTTGTCCTGATGCCTTCTATTAATCAGTATAATGTGACTGGTACATGCCGTAAGCAATTAAATTTCAATGATCCTGCGATTTATGAATGTAGTCTTGTACATGTGACAACTACTAAATGTAGATGAATGAGTTTCAAAAGAATTGCACCCAATTTATTGTATAGCCGTATTACTTCAATAAAGTAATACTACATCCGTCTTACAAAAATAAATGTTACTAATCATCGAGGGCCGTTGAATAAATATTAATATTAATTTCCTTTGGTAACCTGGAGTTACTTACTAGTTCATTAGTGCACCAAGCTATACAGTAGAAGAAATATTCTGGGCTGACCTCTCCCGAGTTTTACCTAACAGTTATACATACTAATGTGTATTCATTTACGCCCCGTCAAGGCAAGCACAAGTGCGCAAAGTTCAAATTCGCGCGCTCCTATTGGCCAGCGGTCCATAAATGCCCAGGAGATCAGCGACAAGCGAACTAAGCGGCGACCGAGTGTGCGCCTTTATTCTGTGGCGAAATAAATGAGAATTAAATAGATTATAGTAAATCTTCCATCACAGTGTTATTGGTGGTTCTACGAGTATTTTCTGGGTGCGCATGTCTTTTAAATTTTGCATATGGAAATAAAACAACACAGTAGGTAGTATTCTCCACGAAGATTAATACACATCTGCATGCGCTCGAACCAATTTTCGAAGCACTTATTCCACTCGTTTGCTGGCAGATCCAAAACGGCATTTTTGAATGCGTCAACTGCTTCTTCTGGTGACTGGAACCTTTGACCATGCAGTCTGTTTTTAATTTTCGGGAAAGTAAAGAAATCGTTAGGACTTAGATCGGGACTATATGGACGATGATCCAATAATTCCACGTTTTCTTCCGTTAAATACTGCCTTGTTTTTTGGGCTGTGTGCGAACTTGCATTGTCTTGGTGGAGGATGATTCTTATTTCGGGGTTGATTTTTCGAAGCTCGGTGATGACTTTTGGCAAACAAATGATGGTATACCAATCCGCAGTAACAGTTCTTTGCTCATTAAGAGGAATTGTTGCAATATGACCCGCTTTTGACAAAAATGTCGCGTCCATCTTTTTCGAGACACTTCGAGAACGGATGACTTTTGTTGGCTTTTCTTCACCTTGGAACACCCAAACAGCCGACTGTTGTTTATTTTCTGATTCATAACAATAAATCCACGATTCATCACCACTAGCAAATTCTGTACACATTTATTGAGTTTCCGGAATTGAAACGGTCAAGCGTTTTTTGACACCAATTAACCCTGGCTGCTTTCTGCTCTTCAGTCAACAGGTGGGGTATCCAACGAGAAACTAATTTTCTTACTCCTAATTCTTCATGTGAAAATTTTTTAATTGAGGTCTTTGAGATCTTCAAGGACGCCTCAATCTCGCGATATGTCACATGTCTATCTTCAATGATGAGTTTGCGCACAGCATCGACGTTTTCCTGGGTGACTGCCGTTTTTGGTGCACCCACCCTAGAATCGTCGCTAAGACTCACCCGTCCACGTTTAAATTATCCATACCAACGGGAAATTGTCGACTGATGTGGCGCTTCGTTGCCGAAAACAGACAGTAACTCAGCAAGGCATTCTTGTTGCGATAATTGTATCTGAAAGTTGCAATAAATTATGGCGCGAAAATGTTTTCGCTTGAGTTCCATTTTTCTAATGACTTGGTGACACACTTAAAAACTCACTGTAGTGAGAACACTGCACGTATTGTTGTGAAACTTTGAATGTTTATGTTTACTAAAGAGTGAGGTTAAGATTCAGAACTGACGTTCGATCCGCGCGGCCTACTATGTTTCTATATGCAAAACTTAAAAGACATCCCTCGTATTACTTTTTCTTACCTATAAGTTTATATGTTACCATGTGAGTCAAAAGTCATGTATGCATACATGAACTGTCAAAGCTATGCCATTTATAGTCATGGATTCGTTTACAACACAACAACGCATTTTGGTTATCCAAACTTATTACGAAAACGGTCGAAATATAAAAAATACTTTTCGCAAACTTCGCACTAGTTTTGGCCGACATGGACGCCCTACAGAGCCTGGAATTCGTTGGATTGGTAATCGTTTTGAGGAAACTGGTTCAGCTGAAGGTCGTAGACCATACCAACATGCTCGTCCAGCTCGTACTCGTGAAAACATAGCCGCAGTGAGTGAAAGTGTGCGAGAAGATCCAACCACCTCGACTAGGCACTGTTCGCAACAATTGGAAATTAGTGAGACCACTTTACGACGGATTTTACACATTGATTTACACCTCCATCCATACAAAATCCAATTAACACAAGAATTGAAGCCGGCAGATCATCAACAGCGGCGTGTTTTTGTTAATTGGATGTTGAAAAGAGAAGACGGATTTTCGAACAAAGTGCTCTTTTCTGATGAAGCTCATTTTCACCTCAATGGGTACGTAAATAAGCAAAATTGCAGCAGATTCTGGGGGACTGAAAATCCACACCAATATCATAAACAACCTCTCCGTCCTGAAAAAGCTGGTGGCATCGTTGGACCATTCTTCTTTGAAGATAGCGAAGAAAAGTCCATTACCGTCAACGGGGAACGTTATCGCGGCATGTTAACAGACTTTTTGGGGCGACAATTGGATCGTATTGGTGTCAACGATCTCTGGTTTCATCAAGACGGAGCAACGACTTACACATCTCGCCAAACAGTCGTCTTATTGCACACGAAATTTCAAGACCGCATAATTTCACGAAATTCAGATGTCAGTTGGCCCCCGAGATCATGCGATTTAACACCTCTTGACTATTTTCTTTGGAGATTTTTGAAAGAAAACGTATATGAGCATGGTCCCCGGATAATTCAAGACCTAAAGCGCAATAATCGGACTGAAATTGCGGCCATAGACCTGATTATTCTGGGAAAACTCATTGAAAATTTTGATGTTCGGATGTTGGCCTGTAAACGAAGCTGCGGTGATGACATCACTGATGTTATTTTTCATACATATATGGCATAAACCAACCTTCGTTTATCAATAAAAAAATTCGATTTCACCTCGTAAAAAGCGTGTTGATTTTTCAAATAAAAAAGAAGTAGATGACGCACCCTGTACTTATATAGTGCATTTCAAAAGGATCTCCCTACTTATCTTTTTATATGGGTCAAGTTAGCAAGCTGAAAATCGACAGGGATATTGCGTATCTTGAAAAGTGACATTATGTAGGTTTTTCTACAAGATGTCAACTTAGCAGTAGCTGTTGTACACTTGTTGTGTACTTGTTCCGTAGCTGTACGTGTTGCCTAAACTTCATGATACTCCAGCTACCAATGTTTGGCTCTGATGTGATGTAACGCTTTAAAGATGACATTATTGGAGGATTTGTGTGCTAATAATCTGTGTTGATGTTTATTCCGTTAGTTTCTTTTCTAAAATGCATTAAAAATCAGTTGCGCATCCGCTTTTTCTTAATCAACCTGGAAATTAGATATGCAGATTTGAATTTAAAAAAGGGAGCGATAAGTAAAAAAAGAATTCCTTGTTGTTGAAGTATATTAAAACTAACAGGTAAGAAAATATGGTACATACAGGAATATTTATAAAACCTAAAACAGTTCACATTAATTTTTATTTAAAGTCATTTAATTTTTATGGAAATTTATTCTGCGATGCAAGTAGAAAATATAAATCAGCGTCTAGATGTGAGGCAGTGCCAAAATATTTTGTATGTGATGCGTCTTTCCTAATTGTTCTTCAATGTAGCTTAATTACAGAGAACGAGGCGCAGCTAATAGATATATTTCATTGGCAGTATTAATAATTTCCTCACATAGCAAATATATATATATATATATGGTGAAAAATTAAAGCTTCCGCTTTTTGTTGGGTACTTCGACAAGATTTAAGCAAAGAGGACTCTTTATACTTTTTTTAATTCTCTCTAGCTTTCAATGGACTTTGCCATCATCATCAGGAGAGTAGTATGTGAGAATGTTGCTAATTGTTGTTTTCGTATAGGATGAGGGAAACGTCCAGTAACATGGTGAGAGCTGAATAGGTTGCACAATAGTCAAAATTTATACAAAACATGACAAGAACACGTTAAAAACAGATTAAAAATTATTTTAAAAAATTTAAAACATTACATCGTCGCCTTAGAAGAAGACTGATACAACTCAAAATTTGCGCTTTTTCGTGAGAGCCGGTTAAAGATTCCATTATTTTCGTAATGCAAAATCTTAATGTTCTAACAGGTTATTCACTGATATAATACATACTGTTACATAACATTATGTCAGAAACAGTATAAAAAGACTTATTTATTTCTATTTTGCATTACCGCTTCAGATTTTTGAAAATAGTATAGTTGTGACTATTTTTCTCAAAAAATATTAGATGAGTAATATATTGGTCTAATCAAAGAAAGTTATAATATTGACAGACTTTATTGAATTTATGACAACTGGCTACAATAGATTCATAAGTTTTTATAGTAGTCTTCATAATACGTGGGAACCGGTCGTGTTAGCGATTTTTTTGTTCCCGGTTTTGAAATCAGAGACAGCAAACCTTTCTTTTTTTTATCTGTTATTCCGGGCTTCGATCTATAAGCTTGTTTTAATTGTAAATCTTCTATGCTTACAGGTTTACGTCGTGAGTTAAACAAGTTGGTTATACTGAATTCCTCTTGACCAAAGGAGTCTTTCATTAATATGACTGTAGGCTGATCTTTGTTGACAGATATTACTCTAGCGTCAGCAATTTTGTTGATATTTAGTCCTATCTGACTAGTGAGGTCTTTGAGATCAAAAAAACTTTGGTAACACATTTCTTTAACAGCATAAGGTTTCCCCGTTTTCCTCGCATCTCGTATTATATTGACGTACTGCTCAGGTACATAGATTGGACCGTTTTTCTTAAATCTTCTAACCCGCCTTTCAATTACTGAATGTACACTATCACCCTCATTTTGGGTATGACCAACTGTCAGGAACTTATGTGTTATTGATTGTATACACTTTAGTTTACAAACAGCGTAGACATACAGTGCGACCATAAACTTATTTTTCTGCTGTCCAACGCAATTGTCGGAATAAAACACTACATCTTTTTTTTCATTTGTGCCCAGCGAGTCAATTTCTTGATCCAGATTCTCCAGGTAGTCCCAAACACAAGATCCGATTTCGTTTGCACCTCTATGTCCTTGTCCCTCATGCCAAAGGTAACATGTAACATCTTTTGTTTGTAGGCGGAACATAGAAAAGTTGAAAACGTTCAACTTAGAAACATAATAAAATGACTGAGCCTCTCCGGATGGACATGGTAGAACCGCCTGTAGATCGTAAACAACGACAATTTTGTCAGAATTCTTATCATTGGCTTTTTCAACGCGAGCTAGCTCTTTCTCGATAATGTGTTCGTTATATGGGTCTTGCATTTGTAAGCGATTCTCTTCATTTGCATTTGCAAAGGCAAGACAAAGCTCACATTGATCTTTTTTGGGGTTAAAAAATCCGATATTAAATTCAGTATTAAAAATTGTGTAGTACATAGAGTATTTGACAAAAGGTAAGTTTTGGTCTGTGCAAGTTTTTTTGTAATGAGTGTAAAGCTGCGAAATTGTCTTTCCACCTTCTATATACTCTTTTTGTGTCTGCGATCGGCAATAGTGGCTTTCGATTCTAGGAATGCTTATTATGTGTTGTCTTACACCATTTTTGAGTTCATCTGGAACTGTCACATGACTTTTATGTTTTCCTCTTAAGTCGACTTTGAGCATACCACTGCATACATTTTCTTGCTTCATAACAACAGTTCGTATCACCCTAGAGTTGATGCCTAAGGTTGAAATGAAGAAATATTTGCAAACTCTGATTCTTCCTTCATTTCCGATTCCCAAATAAAAGGCATTGTTGAGACGACGACAACTGTCAGCTTTCTCGTATCTGTATTTTGGTTGGATAGGCGTCATATTGGAGAGTATAAAATTACGCTGTCTTTGAAGGTCACCCATTTCCCAATAGGATTTAAATAGTGTGTTTCTAGCTTCAGGTCCTATTTTTTCAAAGCATTTTAGCCGACACTTATCATTGCAGGGAGGTCCCATCTTTTTCTCATCTCTTTGAACATACACATATTTTTTTGCCCCATCAACTTGCTCCACTTGTTTTGCTGACCGATATGCTTGACCACTATTTCGAAGTCTTTTTGCAGAATTTTTCAGCCACGCATCTTTGTTTGACTTCCGCTTTCGTCCTATTCTTTTTTGAACACCAACTGTTACTGTTTCATTTTGATATTCAGCCTCAATGTTCGTCAAGCTTGGATTATTTTCTATATCTGGTACCTCGCCATCGGATGCTATAAAGTCAGGGTCCGCTACCGAGTCATCCGATCCATAAGGTTCACCCTCACTATTTGTACATTCACTTCCTAAAAAAATTGTTTTGGAAAAAATATTTCATTAGCTAGATTTAGGTATACCTTCATTCGAAGTTCTCCTACAATACCCAGAACCATTGTTCTCCTTGGTATTACCCTCACCAGACGATATATTTGAAGCCACTGAAAATAAAAGAATGCTCTGCTATACTCTGTCATCGAAAAGGAAGATAGCAGCAAAACACTGCACACCCATGCTAACCCATTTTAATATGGTGAGATACCCGCCTACCGACTTTAT